TCGACCCCAGTAGTTTTCTCCTCTCTTTTTGGAGATGACTGTGATTCGGCAATCAAAAACGTGGTTTTTAGGGAATTGATTGGGATTGTCTAACTTAATCACAACATTCCTGAACAGACCAGCTATCACATTGATGCAAACGCGACGGAAAGAAGTCAACCGCTGAACACAAGTGATGCAACTTAATTTATTGCTGTAAATTTGGAAAACGCATATGAAAACAAATTTAGAAACTCTCGGTGGAAAAATTACCCAACTTGCCGACTATGTGAAGGGCCACTTGAAGAAAAGCTTTTTAGTCTAGTTACTAACCCATCCTACTGCAATGTAACCGAAATTGCTTTGGATAAACGAATATCCACAAACGGTATGCTGGTATGTTGTTCCGTTTTCAAGGTCACTGTGCTGTCACGAACTTATCACCGAAAAAAGCTTAATTTTTCAAATTAATTCTTACCAGGTTTTTTCTTGAGTTAGTGGGTGGCTTATATCTAAAAACATGCAGTGTGGGGCCTGGCCAAATAATAAAAAGTTGGCGACGTTCATGGATAGCTAAAATTAGCAAAACATAGTAGGTGCGTCTTGAGTACTTTTGGTTGCAAGTATTACGAGTAGCATTAAATTTTATGACACTCCGAATAAAGGCTTCATGTTCTACTTCATGCAGATGAAATCATGCTGTGTTACGGCGACTCATTCTGCGAGAGTCACGAGGTCTTGTTCCCCGTTTGGTCGTGAGAAGAAATTTCGTAGTCTCTGAATACCTCAAACATAAGATAAACTAAGAATGGGGTTTACTCCAAATATAATACAAGTGTATACATGCTGATAATACATATATTATCTATAGTACAGCACAATAACTTTTTTAAAGGTTCCTCATATTACTATGACCTCTCGATTGTGTAGTGTTTGATTGTATTTGATATAATCAGATAGATACTTTATAAAGAGTGTAACCCGACAATTTGACATCGTCGATGCGCAAATGTCAATTCATTCAAAATACTGGAAACCATATAAAACCATAGAATATACATAACCTCCCACCTGACTTTTAAATCATTGTGGTTTTTCTTTTTATTCATTCAGAAATCTCTAGATGGCCATGATTGTTCCTATGTTACTCCAGTACCTAGGTGGGCGTACCAACTTGAGCCGAGAATAGGGAAGCATTCACTTTCACAAATTAGTCCTTAGGTGAGTGACAGGCAAGGGCTGACCAATTGTCACTTGCAAAAAGTTAACAGTAAAATGAATTTTAAATGGGATGAGGTATGAATTCTGTAAAAGTTGTTTGTCTTTAGCAGTGTTTTATTTCCATTGCGCGACTCAAAATATAACGAAGTTGATAGCAGCCTGAGGTCATCGATTGCAAGTATTTGTTAGGTTTCCTCTTGTTTTCCTCCTGAGTTGATGCGGCCACCTATTTTCCTAGCTAGTCACTCTCGGCGGGATGGTGATTATAGGGTTTGGGCGCAGCCCATTTGGTCTGTATTCCCCAACTCTTCGTCTCGTGTGGTTGCTACTAGACTGCTGTGCCGCTGTAACGCGTCATCCAGCGCATTGGGTAAAATCCACCTTGTGTCATAAGCTACCTCATCTCCGACAATACAGAGTGGATATAACTCATTGTTTCAGGCGTGAAATAGCTGGTCTAATGGTCTGCACTTGCAATTCAACCCTGGTTCTTGGTTGCTCCTGCCTGGACCAGATCGACCTGGGAGTATCTCAGCCATCGTGTTTCCTCTGAGTGGCTAGACAGCTATGAACCGAAGGGATGTTACAACTAGACAGTTTTTGTTGGTTATTTGCATCCGCAAGCTATTTTCATAGGGTTACCTATAAAGAATTAATTCATTTGCGAAACAGATAACATAACACATAAGATAACAACGGAAATAACCATTCTTATTTACGATTCATTAGGTATCTGGACATCACCATTCTTGTCTGAGCTTATAAGCTTTCAGATTGCATCATAAATGCATTATAGATGTCAAAGAAAACCGTACATATTCTAGACCAAAGTGTCGGCTTAGCCAATTTGAGACCAGCAATAAAATCGGTCGGTGTATGATCGTGAATCATCAGTGTTTATGACACCCGCCGAACGGTTGACCGATAACGCTAGGATAATGACAAGGAACGTGTCCATCCTGGTGCTTCCTTTGAAAGCGCAAATTAACCGTCTGAGAAAAACACAAGATATTTTCTCTTTGATTTGTTTGGTTTGCCTCCTCAGACTGGTCGGCAAGCTGTCACCACTGTCACCTCAACAGTACTTAATTTGACAGCCTCCGTAGAATGTGGATTAACTCTGCGTAAATAGACAAGCAAAACATAAATAATTAATTATAAAATAATTTTTCCTGCTTGAATCTAGTTTCTGAGAGTGATTAACCTCTTCAATGCGAGTGCCTTTAGTGGGAATTAGTACACACACTTCTTGTATTTGCATCGAAAACTACAACTTACAGGAAGCTTGAATCTAGTTTCTGAGAGTGATTAGCCTCTTCAATGAGAGTGCCTTTAGTAAGAATGTGTACAATCAAGTTCACACTTTTTGTATTTGCATCGAAAACTACAACATACAGGAAAAAAGCGTGGCTAGGTATAGGTAACATGTCAAGTGTTGAACCAACAGATCTTCCTTCAACGACTAACTTACTTGGTGTGCTCCTCAGGAGTTTTGTCTGTAAGTCTCTCAGTGCCTCCCATTTGTAATCGTTCCACTGTTATATCACTAGCGGTCGCCTGTCTACTGATGCTGACTGTGAAGTTTTGAAAACTTTGAACAAAAGTAATAGTTGGCCCACGAAGGAGAATCTACTCAGTGTAGTATCTTAGGCAATACTAAAGGGCGTTGTGACCCACAATGATGCCACTGCCTCTTTGGTCCGTTTGCAGTGCGTCTGTCAAAAAACACACGCATATGAACAAAGGTTTTTCCATTTGTATCTCTCATTCCATGAAGACGTCCTGTACGGTTCTTTTTTCAATGATAGATGTTTGTGTTCAGTCAGCAAAACTATAAAGTAAATCTTCAAAAATCTTGATCTTGCAGTCCGAATTCCAGGCAGTGCGCATTGTATTCTCGTTGTGGTATTGCTGTATGTGTTGAAAAATATTTTTTGCTCAGGGTTTATTAAAATGATGGGCCAACATTCATTTTCTGACTTGTCCGTCACACTGAACCACGCCGGTGGACTCTTGCTTACACATAGAGTTTTCGCTTAGTGGCATACGCAAGCAGTCAAAATTCTCCCTGAGGGAGCCATACCGAAAGCCGAAAAAGAGGGGCAGTCCTACGGTTACCATGCCAATCTCGCTGCCTGTAGTCGTCAAAGATGAGTCGAGATGACGCAACAGTCGGGGCTATCAGCAAAATAATTTTCCCAAATATGGTGTGATTCATTCGGCGCCTTCAATCTGACTGGAAATTTTTTTCTGTGTAGTATTCTTTATCCTCACACTTAGTTGCTAAAGATGCCAAAAGAGCTAAACACTCATTAGCTGATCAATGCGTTCTTAAATTCATCGATATTTCTCAAGCAACGTTCACTCTTGAACACAAAATTGGACTGGCGACAAAGAAATAATTCATGATGAATGTCTCAGTGTTGAGCATATCAAGCCACCTAAGGCTGATCACAACGTTTACCTGAAAGCGAGCTATTGAAAAAAGTAGTAATCTTATCGCCGCAAATCAATAATCCCACTACAGTACTCAGTTTTTGTTGCTTGTGCAT